ATTTGGAAGATTCTGCAGAAACTGAAAGTAAAAATAGTCAAAGTGATTGTGTGCAGAGAAGCTTATGGATTCTGCTTGTACTGATATCCAGGCATGTGTGGGTGTGTCACATTTTACATTCATACTCACAGATATCACACTTGAGCCCAAACTCTTTGGGGATTTTGTTCAAGCGAACCAGAGGTGTGTGTCCAATTTTCTCAAGGATGCTGGAGAGGATGCCAGAGGGCTTGGTGCTGTAATGTACGAGATAACACACAATTAACAGTCATTACCATCTTGGAGATACCATACACGATGTCATGTTCATTACATCTCGTGAGAATTTAATTACAAAATACCAGAAATATCAGAAGTATCACTACAACATACTCTAACTGGCCAGTTTGTTAGGTACACATTTTTATCATTGGGTTTAACGCCCTTTTTTCTTTCAGAAATGCCTTAATTCTTTATGGCATCAAATGGGTGACATGACCCATTTGATGCTGCAGACCAGGTGCCTGACGTTCCACCAAATCCCAAAGATGCTCTACTGGATTGAGATCTGGTGACTGGAGGCCATTTGAGTGGAGTGGACTCATCGTCATGTTCAAGAAACCAGTTTGAGTTGATTTGCGCGTTGCAGCACGGTGTCCTATCCTGCTAGAAGCAGGCATCAGAACATGGGTACACTGTGGTCATAAAGTGATGGACATGGTCAGTAACAGTACTCAGGGAGGCTGTGGGGTTTAAATGATGCTCAGTTTATACTAAGGAACCCAAAGTGAGCCAAGAAGATACCCCCCAAATTATTATACCACCAGCAGTCTGAACCACTGACACAAGGCAGGATGGATCCATGCTTTTATGTTGATTATGCCAAATTCAGATCAGGTGAAGTTTTTCCAACCTTCTATTGTCCAGTTGTCCCTGTGAACTGTAGCCTCAGTTTCTGGTTTTTAGCTGTCAGGAGAGGCATCCAGTGTGGCCTGCTGCTGTAGCCCATCTGTTTTAGGTTTGATATTTTGATAACTTAGTTGTAACAAGTCTTTTCCCTCTAACTTCTGTCATCAACAAGGCATTTCCCCCCCAGAGAACTGGATATTATAGTCTTTGTTTGACCGTTTTCAGTAAAGCACAGAGATGGTTGTGTGAGAAAATCTGAGTAGATCAGCAGTTTCTGATAGTTCTGAGTCAATTAAGTCACCGTTCTTCATTCTGGTGCTCAGTTTGAACTTCAGCAGGTCATCTTGATCATCTTGATCATCTCTACATGCATTGAGTTGTTGCTGTCTGGTTGACTGTTTATATGTTTGCCCATGAGTGTATGTGTGACATCTGTTTGTGAATCAACATTCTTTTACAGCTGTAATGGAGTTTCATTATTTAAAGACTGAGCTTAAGCTCAGAGCATTCTCTCCTCTACACAGCAATCTCTTTATTTTTTCCAGACTCTTACCGTGCTGAGTGGCTATGAGGCGACTCTGACATGGGCGCGCCCAGCTTCCAAGTACATCTCCTGGGCAAATCAGGACGGATCCACTTCGTCTCATCAGGAGTCTCGTCTGTGTTCTCCAGCTGAGTCTCAGTGAATGATTCATCCTTATCTTCACCATCAGCAGATAACCTGTCACAACTGTTCACAGCTGCTGTAGCCTGACACACACTTGAAGATGCTTTAGCACAAGTGACTTCTGCATTTGTTGGGTTAGCTGCAGATGTGCAAGGAGAAGGAACTTCTTCCAAGGATTTTGTACCAAAATCAGTGGGCATGGTTCATCTGCAGCAAGATGGGACACATTTTACACCACATTTACATCAAGCTTTCAAAAGTTACTGACAAGTTGGCAAGACCTTTTGTTTTAGTGGCCACTTAATTTGACTCATTCATCAATGACTTGTATCACGTTAACCTATCCCAGCTGTCTTAGGGGGAGAGGCAGGGTACACGCACAGGTCGCCAGCCTGTCGCAGGACTAAGTCATAGACACAGACAACCATTCACACTCACATTCACATATGCAGGCAACTTAGAGTTTCCAGTTAATCCCTACGAATTGCATGTCTTTGGAATTTGGGAGGAAGCTGGAGTACCCGGAGAGAACCCACACAAACACAGTGAGAACATGCAAACTCCACACAGAAAGACCCAGGCCTGATGGTGGAATTGAACTCAATAAATAAGCTACACATTATTTTATCTAACCTTAAATTAATTTAAAGCCAATTTGCATGACACAGTTTGATTGATGTCCAGACATAATTTTAAGAATATGTTGCTCCTTCTGTGCCCACCCACACATTTCTTTGGCTGCCACTGGCCGACACAGGTCGCTGGTCCATTACGTGGCCAACACAGAGAAAAAGTCAACCGCACACTATCACACCCCCACCTACAATTCAGAAGCATCAATTATCCTAGCAAGCACGTCTAATCAGTGGAAGGAAACCCACACAGACACAGTCTGGCCACACAAACTTCACACAGACAGGCCCCGGCCAGACCGCAGTAGTAGTATGATCCTTTATTCTGTGCTGTTTTTCAGCTTTCTGGTTGTGGGGTTATGCTTACTTTCCTTGTGCTTGATATGATCCTGTGTTCTGTGCCTTTTGTCTCCTACTTGCCTGAGTTGCTAGGTTTGTTTATTTCATTTTTCCTCTGTTCCTTCTCTCTTTGTGTGTCTGTTCCCTCATTACCCTCTGTGTGTATATATATATTATCCCTGCCCTTTGTCTCTCTTGCATCGTAGCCTTGTTCCTGAGTCCTACGTTTAGGACCTTAGTCCTGCCTGACACACAGCCTAAAGAAGAAATACATATTCCGACTCCAGTTTCAAAAGACTTCCAAGAACACCCAGCCCGCATAATAATAAAACCATTAATATATACAGTCACAATGTTACAGTCATCTGTGGCTATAGGGACCTAACATTTCTGCTTAATCTTCAGAATAAATATAATGACAATTTCATTCACTTTGTAAACCATGGAATATGATTACATACTTTATTTTGTGAATTAAATCATATACTGCACTACTGAAAACACTGAACACTTAAAAAAAACAACAACATAAAAGTACTAAAAGTACACAGCACAGATGTACTTCTGCATTTTAAGGGTGACCCAGGTGAGGAAACCACACCCAACTCTCGCTGGCTGATACAGTTAGCTAAATCAGCTTAGCTAAAAACTTACTAAAACATTTACTCACCAAGACCATGAGAAAGTAGTTGGACATTATCAAGCTGGTACCACAATCACTTTTACTTTCATTCCTAAACAACAAGAAGAATAAACAACAGGCTTTTTTTCCCACTCCTGTGTTGTTGCATTCAGGTTCAACCGGAGTGGGCGGGACTTGTTTCCTCCCTCCAATAGAATTTCAGTATATGCCCTAGGGGAATCCAAACTTCAGTAATACACAAATTAACCTAAGAGCTGGAGTTCTAAATCAGAATGTAAAATAAGACACACAGAGAGTTGCTGCTATTGGGCTACACTGTAATAACATTGTAACAAGTGAACTCTGCTTTCTGCTGATTGCACACAGGTGAGTCCTAGTTTCAGCATAACCGCAGCCTGGAGATAAAAACAGGAATCAACATGTTTCTCTAACTGTGTACTGAAATGCTGAATTCCTACTAACTGCAGTTAAAGGAGTGGTGTGCAATAACATTCACAGAAAGGCATGGAGTGACGCCCACCTCCATACACATGAACGAATATATCTTCCTCCGCTGTTTAGAAATTCAAGATAAATTGAATCAGATTAAAACATACCATTTGCACTCCCTGTCTGCAGAAAGACACAAACCTGTGTGCTGGTAGTGTGTCAAAAACTGATTTCCAATATTTGCCATAAAAATGATTGTTGGAATTTAAACAGTTATAAATGATTGCTGGCATCTAAGATATGCCAAACATATAATATCAAGACATTTTGACTCAGCGATAACAATTTTTTGTGTATTCACTGTTATATTTCCTTTTAATTTTAATGTCTCACCAACATTAAAAATGTTTTTATTCAAGAGTGATCCGGCCATGAGGGCAGCTGAAATAAAATAAAAAAATCCAATTTCTGTGAACACGCTGAGAGACCAAAAAGAACTAGATTGATTATACTGCAGTTGCAATAAGGCAGAGTCATAAAATGTTTGCAAAACAGGTTATTTCTTTATTTTCTATATAACCACATAATAAACACCGTTCACTACAGTCTAATTACAATGTAAGTAAATATTAGACATAAAAGCACACGAGAACAGCAGAAATCATTGTTTGGCTTTTTTGGCACAACACCAACAACATCTGATATCTCCTATTGGTGCCGTTTCTGCATCATCATCATAATATTGGTCCATGATCAACATTGTAACTGACCAATAACATTGTCATGATGTTATATGCTTTGCATTGTGAGGGACACAGAAGAAACAAAATATGCCTCTGTTTATATCATACTTCTGGACATAATTGTATCTATATTCATTTATACAACATAATAAACAATTTTATCAACGTAGGCTTCTCTTAGCCAAATTTAGGTTATGTTGGTTTGCTAGTTTTTAAATGTATAAACTAACTTCTTGGCTAATGCTAAGTGACTTACACGGAGCAAATAAAGCAAATTGATAAAAACATGTACAAAAAAAGAAAAAACACTAAACACAAAGGCACCACACTTAAAAAAAAAACATTATGTGTGGCAGGAAAAAAAGAAAGAATAGAAATATTTTTACTGTATTGTAAGAGAAAAGAGTCAGTTCCAGAAAGATGATGGTAACGTCCCTCCAGAAAAAAACTAAGCTGCCCTTTAACTGGAGATTTTTCACTCATTACAAGATGCAAAGTGTTAAAAAAAAGAACAAAGATAGCTCTGAATAGTGCTTTACAACTTCTCTGTCCTCTCTGGAGCTCTATTATTATTATCATCATCATTATTATTAGGATTATTTCAGTGACATTACAGGTGATCGTTTGCTGTCTCTCAATGAACAGGAAGTAAAATCCACCTTAAACAGGACACAGTCACTGGGTTACACCGCCTGACTTTGATGGTTGCAGTCCTGCCCCTCGTGTGTGGTGATGTAGGAGAGAAGGTCAATCGCTGTCACGACAGCAAATAAAATCTCCCTCTGGAGGGCCGACCCATCGACCCCGTCTGCACAGAGACACAAAACTCCTGTTAAACACAGAAGACTGTTGTGGTTTGTTTACTGCACAGGCTCATGAACAAAGTTTCCCATGTCGTCCACAAATGCAGGTTTTAGCTCAATGATGGAAAGAAAGAGCCATATGTGAACATGATCCAGGAGAATGCAAATGTATGATTGTAAATCAGTGTCTTTGGGTGTCATAACCAAAATGAAGCTTTGTGAATGACATTTATCAACCACGCAATAAACAGCTCATTATAAAAATGATCTGCACATAAATGTCCTGCATAAACACTATTTAGGAAATTAATTTTCTCACATTGAGTTTGATTGTGAACCACCAGGGCAAAGTTATCAGTTTTGAGGATATGGGAAAGCTTCCCCAGGTCGTCTGTCAGGTGCACCTGAAAGCACAAGTGGAGGAAGATTAAACAAGCGTGTAAAAACGTTCATTATGTCATCAAAGGTCGCCATGAAGAGCTCTGCACTCTCTGACTGACCTGTTTGAAGGCTTTGAGGAGCACCGCGCTAACAGCCGCTGAAAGTTCAACCTTCCCCGCCAACAGAGAGGACAGAATGGTTTCCAGAGTCACCATTCCCAGGATGGCCCTGTGGAAATACACAAAACCCACAAACTCCCATCAGACTCAGGTGACGAGAAGACTAACCCATCGTGTCTCTGCCTGCTTATGTCCACCAAATGTCAAGATTAAAAATGGGTAACCAAACTGGACGATTAATCAATGTAGTTTTTAACTAGAGTTTATCTTGAGACGAGATCCAACTTATATGGTTACACACTCAAATAAGGATACCTCACATGGGGATTTACACTGGAGGGACAGGGTTGTAATGTATGTGTATCTACCCATCAGACGTCCAGCTGCCCACTCACATCTTTAAACTACATCCCTGCAAAGTTTAACATCTCTGACTACAAGTGAGGTGGCAACACTGCTGGAAGTGTTAATAAAAACATAAATAATCACTGAGGTTTTAAAAGCTGTGGGAAATACAAGCTTCACATGTTCATATTATTTATCTTTAAAAATATTTCAGTTGAGTAGTTATATAAAGATGAAAATAAGACAAAAAGATTAGACAAGACAAAGGTCACAGACAAAGTGTTAGAATCTCTTCCTGACACTGTGATGTCATCCCGAAATTCAATTTCCACCATCAACTCGAGAACAGAGCCACGTTTCAGTGTGAAATCCTGAGATCAAACTACGACCTGTGGAACATCTGCCGAGCATTTAGCTGCTCTGCACGAGAGAAGATGACGATACAGAGGATGAGATCTGTTTCTCTGAAATCTCCATGGAGACCACTGTTTGTGTTTATGCTGGAAGTTCCTGTCCTCTTCCTGTTTATACAAGGTCATATCCAAACAGAGCATTCATAATACTAACCTGATATAGAGAAGAAGAGACATACCCTGACTCAGTGACGACTGGTGCCTGATCCAGTGAGTTCTCCTTCAGGATCTCAATGGTTTTCTGGCAGGACACAGAATGTGTGACAGTGAGGAGGGCAGACAGGTGTAGACTCTGAACAGTCCGGCTCCACCACCTGCAAGACGGAAAAACAGAGGTTTTAACACCAACCTGCTCCGTCATACCTCCTCTGAGGGGTATAAGCTATAGCTGATTTGCGGATTTTTGTTGTTGTTTTTTACCAGGGTTTTGGGTCCATTTGAGCGTCCAAGCAGAGGAAGCCTTTCTCACACATCCACTGATCCCTCAGGAACTTTGACCTGCAGGTAGATACGGGTGAGTTTGAAGAAGTGTGCTAAAGTTCAGCCAGGGTTCCACCTAAAACACATCTGACTCTAGACAATCTGTTATTTATCAGCTGCATCACTGCTTTACGTCAGTTTTTTGTTTTTTTTTATGCTGACAGCTTTATTGTGGGATTTATTGGTTAGGGATAGGACATGGCTGTAAAAATAAAAGAAAGAAAGAAAGCATCCTAGTTGAAACACATGTGTCTCTTCCTCTCTCATTTCCTGTCACTGCTGTTCTGTCCTTAATAATGGGAAAAACATCCACACAAAGGGTTTCAAAAGAAAGTGCTTTTATGTTAAATTCTTGTCTAGCTAATGGCTGGTGGGAGCCACATGGTTACTGCTTTTAGCCAGACATAGCTCAGAGGAAGAGAGTCCAACTCTTTGAAACCATGAAGATCTCTAAACTGTTCAGTGGACTGATTCATTTCTACACACATTTACACATTTTTGAGGACAAAGCTAAAAACTGTTGGATGGTCTGTGGTTAAATTTGGTATATATGTTCATTCGTTGGCTTTTAAAGATTTCATTAAAATTTTCTTTTTAAATGGGGAAAGATTATAAAGCATAATACATCTTTAATCATCTAAAAAAAAACAAGAATGCAAGCAGAAATTTTAATGCATTTTCTCTCTAATCCACGCAGGATCAAAAGTATACGTACCAGCCACTGGCCCAAAATCAGCAGCTTCAAGTTCAACTGAAAAGAGCAGCTGCCCCACATAGACAAGCCAAATGCCTTCTGAAGCAACGTTTTATGATCAGAAGGGACAAAA